TCACCATGTTGACCAGGATGGTCTCGATCTCTTGACCTCGTGATCCACCCGCCTCGGCCTCCCAAAGTGCTGGGATTACAGGCTTGAGCCACCGCGCCCGGCCCATAAATGGTCTTTTGAACAACAGCAGCAAATAATCTCTCGGGTGATATTTCAATTTACTAAGGAAGCGCAAATTAAAACATTCCTGCTACACAGTCGTGGTCTGGCCACACACCAGGGTGAATCGCTGGTGGACAACGTAGTGCACACAAGTTAGAGTCCTACGTAAACACATCCAGCAAACCTTCTGAGATCAGCAGCAAAACTGTTCTTTTTTTTTTTTTTTTTTGAGACAGAGTCCCACTCCGTCGCCCAGTGCAATGGTGCAATCTCGGCTCACTGCAGCCTCCACCCCCTGGGTTCAAGCTATTCTCCTGCCTCAGCCTCCCGAGCAGCTGGGATTACAGGCGCCTACCACCACCCCTGGCTACTTTTTTGTATTCTTAGTAGAGACAGGGTTTCACCATGTTGGCCAGGCTGGTCTCAAACTCCTGACCTCAGGTGATCCAGCTGCCTCAGCCTCCCAAAGTGCTAGGATTACAGGCATGAGCCACTGCGTCCGGCTGAATCTTTTTTTAAGGAACAGGTTAACAATCACATTTTTAAAAGAGAACCAAAAGGAAAACTGAAAGACCTAAGTCAAACAAACAAGCCCTGATTACTGTCCATTGGAACCCGGGCAGGACGCAGCATGAGGGAAATGCAGAAAGAGTACCGATGGGCATGCACACTGGAGAATCCTTTCTCTGCCAATCCACTGTGCAAGTAGGTATAGCTGTATAAATATACATAGACCCGACACAATTAAATATCCCTGTAAATTAGACAATAAGCAGCAGGCAACAAAGTCTTTGCTTTGGAATATGTGCCAGGAAAAGTCACCTTGTTTTTAGATCCCAAGAGGCAGTTTACAATTCTTTCATCTGAAATGAGCTGAAAAATCCATAAAAATAGGTGCAGTTATCTGAACTCTATGTGACTGAAGGGGAAAAAATATCAAATAATAGTGGTTCTTAGTTGGGAACCCTCACTCTATTGCCCCTTGCCGTCAGCATATTTAACAATGAGCTGGGGCTCAGGTGCCCGGCCGCTGCCACAGACAGCCCTGGCCTGTGCTCCTGACTAGTGCATGGGCTGGCTGGCCCTGCATAGTCCTGGCCTGAGCGCTGATTGACTCCCAGGAGGGCACACAGACACAGAGATGATCTGAACACTGGTTTGGGGTTGGTAGTGAGGCCATATTTTGCTTTGGCGGGAGAAAGGAGGATGAGAGAGGAGGAGGAGGAGATTAGTTTTAACTAGCACTAATTTCTCTGAATTTACATAATAATTCTTTCTTCCTTTTAAACTTTTTGCTTGTTTAAAGGCGTGCTTTAAGAAAATAAATAAATAAATAAAGGTAGTTTCCTTAAGGGCTGAGTTTAACTTTCCCACCACAACAGCAACAGCTAGAGCCTCACAAACAGTTCCTGCCATAAATCTTCTCTGAGAGCTTCAAAGCGGGGATGGTTCTATTGGGAAAGGTTGCACCCAACCTGGATGTGCTAGGGGCCAACAGGGGCTGTCTGCACCTCCCAGCCGCAGCAGGGGCTCTCCAAAGATAGAGAACACGCAGGACACGACCACTCTGCTCCCTCCGGGTCCCTAAGAGGCCTTTTTATCCAGGCACGCTATGAACAGACAGTCCAGTTTGGCCTGTTCTAACATCTGACACTTCCAAAGCAAAGACTTTCCAACCAGTTTTGTTTTGAGTTAAAAGAAAAACAAAAGTCATTTCAGTGTATCACATAATTTCACTCTCTCTCAGGCTTCCACCGTCCTGTGTCACAGACATGGATCCTGTCACACTCTGTAACAGCAGCATCAATGACTTAATTTTAAAAGTGACCTTTAAATTCCATCTTCATTTCGCTGAAATTAGATTTAATTCCAGTCCAGGCAGCCAACTCTAAGCACCAACAGATCCTGCTGGTTTGAGTATACACCAGAAGGGCATATTGTGTCCATCAGACAATGAAGAAACTTCTAACTACATTTAAAAATCTCACATATCACTTAGAAAACAAATAACATCACAGTTAGTGACCTATGTTTTAACAGGAGGACGAAAGTTAAAAAAAAATCCGCCATAGAGTTTCCGCTGTTCGCTTTTCAGGTACAGAAGCAGCCTGTGATTCTACCCTCTCCTTTCTCTCTCTGCGATTAACTTTTCCTCTTCTTCACAAGGCAGATAAAATAACAGAAGCTGGGAGACCTGTTCTTCAGAGATGAACCCAACTAGGAAGTCAGAAACAAGACTGTGGATGATGACACAAGTCTCCCTAGCAACAACTCTGCAGAGGCGTGTGAGCCCCTGGCCTTTGCTGCCTGAAGCGGAAAGTAATCCAGCTGCCTATCGCCTGAGAGTCAGCAACTTCAAGGCCATGGACCTCAGCAAGTGGGAGCGAGCAGACACTTTCCTGAATGCCTGAGCGATGGTGAAACAGAGAAGTCTGAGCAAGGGAAATAAAGGATGGTGTAAAACAGTCCCAAGACAACTGGCAAAGCAAATGAAGTCACCTGGAGGCTTTCTTTTGCCCCCTCTCATCCTGGAAAACTTAGTGGCAGCTGAAAGAAAAAGAGTCATCTTCTCTGACAGTCTCTGAGAGCCAGATGACCTGGTCTGTCCCGCAGTAAGCTTCTTCCTTTCTCCCTGGGCAGTACTTCCACACCAGATGGGGAAGAGCCAGTAACAAAGAGGGGTGAGACAGCAGGGGACAAGCAACAAATCCTGGGCATATTTTGTTTTGTTTGGAGTAGTGATCGGGGTTAGTTTTAATCCTGGGATCCAGAAAGGAAAGCCTGCCACATTTGCTTATTTATGAGTATAGAGAGATAAGCATCACTGAAAGCATCTTCAATTTGACAAGCATCAATGAAAACGACTGCTGAATTCACAGGGAGACTTCCAAGTTTACGCTTGAAAGCGACATTTCTTTGATCGAAGGGAGTTCTAACAATCATAAGGTCGCTACTCAGCATTATCTTTTCTTTTTCAAGAAGGAGTCGCACTCTGTCACCCAGGCTGGAGTACAGTGGTGCGATCTCCACTCACTGCAACCTCCATCTCGTGGGTTCAAGTAATTCTCCTGCCTCAGCCTCCCGAGTAGCTGGGATTACAAGTGCCCGCCACCACACCCAGCTAACTGTATTTTTAGTAGAAACGGGGTTTCACCATGTTGGTCAGGCTGGTCTTGAACTCCCGACCTCAGGTGATCCACTCACCTTGGCCTCCCAGAGTGTTGGGATTATAGCGTGAGCCACCACGCCCGGCCTACTCAGCATTATCTTAATCATAACAATGACCATCAAGTTTATCACCAGAAAGTGAAACACTCCCACCTTGTGGAACACTTGTGTATGATATGGCATTAATTCCAACTGTACCACCACCGTCACTAATGCCAAGAACAGAATTGAGAAACTCCTAGAAAAGAACTTCCCTCCCAACAGAGAAAAAACAGTGGGTAGGAATCCTACTGAGGAGCTACAAGAATCACACTGCCTGTGGCTCCGTCATGGCTCACGGCTAAACCCTGGGGTCCCCAGAAATCCACCAGCAGCATCCCCTGCATTTCCCTTCACATGACGTCAACAGCAGCCACTGTCCCAGGCACACTGAAAAGCCTCTCTCCTCCTCTCTCTACCAGTAACTAAAAATCCCATAATTATGCTCTAAAAAAGCCCCAACTTTGACTCAGAATATAACTGTCCCAGTTCTATGCTCACTGCCACTTTTCCCTGACTAGAAATGCAGGGATTAGCCATGACAAAAAGAGACAGAGAGGGAAAAAAGATTTTTTTTCCCTTTCTAAATCTTTCTAAAAAGATTTTAGAACCCTCTCAGGTTCTAAAAAAGCCAGATGTCTCCTCCCTTAGTCTCTAAGCCACCCAAGAAAAATTAAAGTGATATCACAAATAGAGAAAAAAAATAAAGTATTATGTTGTCTTGAAAAACAGACAAAGGTGTCTGGTGACGGCAGCACAGATATCAGAGGTGGTCATGATGGGGACCTATCATACAAAAGGAAGCCAAAGTACACCCACAATAATTTGGAGATTCAGCAGATCCCCTCAGGGTTTTATGTATGTTTGTGTGTGTGTTTTAAAAAACATTTTTTTCCTTTTGTTAGGCCACATGCTACTAACAAGATTCTCAGCACGGGAAAAATAAGAGTACAGAGCAATGGAGATGGGGAACAGGAGAGCTAGAAAAGTGCTGGACAAGGAGGGAAAAAGTAGTTAAGCCACAGGATTACATACAGGAGTCACCATCAAGAATCACAAAGAGAAATGAGAGGTAACGCTTTCTTTATCTCTCGAAGGCGAGTGAGGGCACTCGGCAGAGTCAGTATTTCGGCTGGCTCGGGCATCTGCGGGAAAGTTTTGACCTATGGGGGACAAACAGGGAGGTAGGGTTAGAAGTCTGGGTGCAAGTGTTGCCCCCTCACAGTCCTCTCCCTCTGAGACTCCCTCCTGGAGCCTCTTGCTATTTGCCACCACCGGCCTAGGCCTCTAGGGTCTCTACTCTGGGGCCCAGTGACACAAGCCCTTAGAGAACCTGAGGCTCAATCACAGGGCTGGAGGTTGGGAGACCACTAAGGTTCTCACTGTCCTCCCTTTACTCTGTCCCCTGGACCCCATCTGCAGACCTCTTGAGAACAAAAAGACAAAGAAGGAAAATAATCGGTGCACATGTGTGACCAGTCTCCCTGGCGGTTCAGAACATCATGATGTCTTATGAGATGCAGGGGCCTCATTACCACCCCACAACCAATTTATACTCCTGTCCTTCCTCTCTTTTAAATTTATTTGAAAAATACTTCCTTTCCTATTTATGCTGATATCTCTGAAGCCAAAAGCCAAAGAGAGAGAGAAAACATAGAATAGCTTCTAGGCTGGGCGCACTGGCTCACACCTGTAATTCCAGCACTTTGGGAGGCTGAGGCAGATCACTTGAGGTCAGGAGTTCAAGACCGGCCTGGCCAACATGGTGAAACCCTGCCTATATAAAAAATACAAAAATTAGCCAGGCATGATGATGCATGCCTGTAGACTCAGCTACTGGGAAGGCTGAGTCAGGAGAATCACTTGAACCAGGGAGTAGAGGCTGCAGTGAGCCAAGATCACGTCATTGCACTTCAGGGAGACACAGTAAGACTCCATCTCAAAGAAAAGAACAACTTCTTACCGTATTGTGCCAGCGAGAAGTGGGTTGAAGGCATACAACCAGTCGTTCATGTCTTTGTCATTGAGGGCTTGCAAAAGGACCCCACGGTGCTTTGTGCAGACAGCAAAGGTGTTTGGTGTCTGAAAGAAATGCAGGCAGACAAGAAAGTTACTACAGAGACAGCAATGGGGACTGCCCTGCCATGTTCCCAAGGCATATAGCACACCACACAGGAAGTTCAAGATCAGAAAGAAAGGGAAATTTCACATTACATAACAGAGAGTTCAGAACTCAAAAGGGAAGGACGTATGTGGTGATAAAAAACCAAGACAGGGAGAACAGACCTTCACCATGGCCTGCTGGTCCTCGCTGTACTCCACTTGTGCTGTGGACAGGTTAATGATTCCACGCTCCACAGGGTCTTTGTCACTGTTATAGATGAAGACATAAGGGCGACGGACGATGACGAAATGTTTAGCCCAGTTACTGTAAAGTGGCTCCTTGAAATGCAGGTATCCTTTCTTAGAGACCACTGAGCTAAAAAGGACAGTATGGCAGAAATTTAGTTTCTCACAAGAAGAAAATGATCATGAACTAAGGACCATCAAAATACATCACACCTAGGCCAAGTCCTTAGATTCAACAAAACAGGCAAATGACCTATTTGGCCTCCCATCTTATCTGCCAAAGTAATACAGCAAAAGAGCAAAACCACGCCAGGGCAACATGCTGTGCCAGGGTGGAGATGTATCATGAGATCCAACTGGAGAAACCCAGGCCAGCCCTCTCACCACAGACGCAACTTGCATCAGACTACAATACAGACCCCATAGAGAAGAGCTAGCCAGTCAATTCTTCCTGTGGATTTGTTTCTTACAGCTGGCATTCCTGATCAATATAGTACTCACCCTGGTCTAATTTCTTCAATATCTGGAACAAGATTGAGAAATTCATTCTTTCCTGCTCGGGCCAAATAGGGCGTTTCCACAGCTGGGACAATCTGAAACTGTTCAAATTCTGGGCAGGGACTAGAGGCCCGTGAATTGGCTTCTGGGGTCCTTTAAAAGAGAGAGATTAGAAAGAAAAGGGTAACAAGAGTATCAGTTATGATCAAAGCATACTGAGTACTGTCTCACTGGGAGGAACACACAATGCCTCTCCCTAAACCCCAGCTGCAAACTTGAATTTCAGACAGCTCAGCTGAGGAGACAAGCTGGCTTCAAAAAGTTAACTCTGAATTCAACTGGTGTCATCCTTCTAAAGTTATGAAAGGAAATTGATCACTGATGACTACTAAGTTACAGTCTCTCGGCCTGTATTAAAGCCCTCTGAACACATTATCTGGAATATGAACTCTATTCCGTTTCTTATTAGTCCCATGGCTACACCAAAAGTGATGTTTCTCAAAGTGTGCTCCTGGCCAGCAGCAGCAGCTTTACCTGGGAAACTCAGAAACTCAAATTCTTAGACTCCAAGCCAGACCTACGGAATGAGAAACTCTGGGTGGGGTTGAGCCATGGGTGCTTTAACAAGCCTCCCAGGAGATGATGATGTACACTGAAGTCTCAGAGGGCCACTGCCTTAGAAAATGCCAGAGAAAGCAAACAAATGGAAAGAGCCTGAATGGCCATGCAGAGCAGAACTGCACCACTGACTTGGATCAGCCCTTATGACTATTGTGGTGGAAATAAATTCCTATACTCTGTATTGTATCAGACTTTCTACCTGGGTAGGAATGGAGGACAAAACTAGCAGAAAGGGATGAAGAAGAGAGTCATCAATGAGTTGAGGATGCAGAAAGTTAGTAAGCTACAATGTAAAGAGATGCCAGTAGCTAGCACCTCTCTAGCGCTCTCCAGTCTAGCATAATTAATTGTATCTCACTAATTTTAAAAAGCTCATTTTAAAATGTTTTATACTTTATCATTTTTTTTTTTTTTAAAATAGAGTCTCACTCTGTTATCTGAGCTGGCATGCAGCTGCACAATCTTGGGTCAATGCAACCTCCACCTCCCAGGTTCAAGCAATCCTCCTGCCTCAGCCTCCCCAGTAGCTGGGATTACAGGTTCCTGCCCCTAAACCTAGCTGATTTTTTTTTTTTTTGAGAGAGGGTCTTGCTATGCCACTCAGGCTGGAGTGCAGTGGTACAATCATGGTTCACTGTAGCCTCGACTTCCCAGGCTCAAACAATTCTCCCACCTCAGCCTTCTGAGTAGCTAGAATCACAGGTGCATGCCACCATGCCCAGCTATTCTATTTGTTTTTTCTAAAGATAAGGGTCTATGTTGCCCAGGCTGGTCTCAAACATGTGGGCTGAGCAATTCTCCAACCTCAGCCCCACAAAGTGCTGGAATTACAGGTATGAGCCGTCACACTCAGCCACCATTTCTTAATTTGGGATTCATCTTATAATTGATTGCATGTTGAAGTTAGGTGCCAGTGCTTCTTTTTCTTCTTCTGCCCTTCTTTTTCCTTTCTCTTCCTCCTCCTTTTTTTCTCCTCCTCCCCCCCACCCCCCGGCTTCTCCTCTTCTTCCCTTTATGTTTTTTGAGATGGAGTTTCACTTTTGTTACCCAGGCTGGAGTGCAATGGCATAATCTAAGCTCACTGCAACTTCCACCTCCCAGGTTCAAGTGATTCTCCTGCCTCAGCCTCCCCAAGTAGCTGGGATTACAGGCATGTACCACCATACCCGGCTAATTTTT